ATATATATATATATATATATCACCTGTATCACCTGTAGCCCAATTGATCATCGAGTGTCTCGAGCGGAGGCCAGTAAATCTTCCATTTTCCCCTGTCGCATCCAAGAGTAGCCCAGTGGGTTCTGCTCACTCTAGGGAATCGTCGAGCATCATAGCATCATAAGTCCGGAGATGATAAGATCTGAACGCTAAAGAATCTTTCGCCAATCCTCAGTAACACACTGGCTCAGCTATTCACTCGTTACTTATGAAAGCACAAAGTTCCTATTCAGCTAAACGTCATAAAGACTAGTTTATTGTTCAAAAAGGTGACCTCCACGACATCGATGACAACCGCTCTATTTGCTCTCTGTCGTCTACAAACTTTTCACTCGTGCCATATTAAATACTACTGACGGAACTCTTGGGTTTGGGCAACCATGTAAGCATAAAGAGGTTCGAAACGTGCTCAGTAGGGTGTACCACATTCACACGATAACAGGACTTAGTTTTTCTTCCTCGGCTTCGTTGAGCAGCTTTCGTGTGAGGTAGAGTGAATGTGGAAAAGACTGCTCTCCACCAGAAGAGATTTTTAAAAAAGCTTTTAATTCATATATAATGCTGAGATATTCTTGGGGGCCCAAATCGGCATTGAACCCAGTTAAGCTGAAGCTTAGTTATAATCACAATCTTAACCCTTTTTATCTTAACCCCAGTTTAATCGCGTTGACGGGTGATTGCTGATGGCAAAACGTCAATAGAACCAGCAGAGAGACAGGCAAGACGAAGGACCCGGACGGTGTGGTGGTGAAGTGCGCTACTCCCCGGAAAGGACAATAGCGTGCGTTCGTTTCCCACCGCATACACCTGCGGCCCGGAGTTTTGCAAATATCTCAGCCTTATATACAAGTCATATTTCGCAACATACCCTGCCATTAAAAAGAAAAAGGCAGTAAATAAAAGGGTTAAGCTTTTAGTTCAGTTTGCAGAGAAGCAGTCATGGCAGGTCTGAACAGCCAAGGCGCCTTTGCTTAGCGTATAAAGATTCTTCGTGGGCCGTAAATATCATCATTCTATAAGGGTATTAACATCGGGTCCAAAAGAGCGATTTACCAAGGCAATACTCTCTGGCCAAAAATTATTTGCCGCAACTCCCTAGAATGTTGTGCATACACTGGAATAGAAAATCTTCGCCTTTCTGAGGACATCGTTCTTATAACATCAAACATTAACCAAGCAGAAGGAATACGTACCAACTTCGTTAAAGCCTACAAAATGTTTGGTATTCTGTTAAATCCCACAAAAACGATGTTTATGAGGAGCGTAGTGGTTTCATATGCCCCTTCGACTTCCATTGAAACGAGTAACTCCGACTGCCCCAGTTACATCCAACTCGGGAAATTAGCATGGTGAACGACCTAGCTCCAAAGTTGAGAACGAGTATACAGAACATTTTCAACCAGCGTTGGTATATTCTCTATGTAAAATATATCGCATGCCGTTTCCCATGACGATCTGATAACCTTATGTTTAACATTTCGTAGGCTGTTTTCTCATGTGAGTATCTGCGGTTATTGCAGTCCTGTTCTTTGAATATCTCCTTATCAAATTACAATGCTTGCGAAATGTTTCTAACACCTCTTATTAGGAAACCGTCTCCACATCCACTCTAGCTCGACTCCGCCCATCACAGAATGAACATAAACCGCTTCCCGGTCAGCTCGCTCAGTTCACTCCAGCAGTGCTGCCAAAGTCACCATGTCATTTTCTCACATCCATCTCATATAGTCGAAGTCATATGATAAGCTCTTCACTCATAAGCAACCTGAACCACCAGTGATCAGGTTGTGCCTATTTATTACTCCAACTATTGTATTATCATTTGTACAGCTTGTATTGCTAAGCCGTAATTGTCGTATTAGCACAGTTATTATGTATTAAGGTTTAATCATCTAAGTTCGAGATGTCCGGCATTGCGGCTGCTAATCACAAAAAGCCCCGCGTGTCACAGGCAAAGGCGAGCAGCTAATGCGACCGAATCTTCGACCGAAAGCTCCACCCTGCGTCAACTACGAGAAATCAAAGATGCTGTTCTGCAGCACAACCTTTCGAGGATACGATGAGCCTGAAACTTAAGGCGTATGAACGACAAGTGGTGGACAAGAGTCGTTAGCGACTAGATTCCTCGGGATGACAATGCACTCCTCCGGGGAGACCCGTAGTGATGGCCTTCATCATGAGCGGTTCGATTCAGCTCCGGGTCAACCAAGCTTATTATCCCTCCGGGTCGGAAAATTCGCACCGGACTTGTCCGGGAGGAAATCATTCTCTGCAATCCAACTGGGAACGCTCCAGCCCTGCTATCTCAGGACTCCAGGGAGAATTGTTCGACCAGCATTCTACGACATTCAGGATGAAATGAGAATACTTAAGCAGCAATCGAAGTCACACGTAAAACTTGGAAAACCTTCGTAGATGATTTACGCGAGGAAAGACATTAAATGTGAGAAGTGCTGGGATCGGCAGAGTAAACGTAAAGATGGATCAAATAAAACAATAGGAAATAAAAATATGTATTACCAGAATGACAATCTCGTTCGCATATTCAGTAGTAGTTCTTCTAAAGAAATGGTGTAGCAGACCGGTTAGAGATGCACTGTAATAGGTTCGTGGTGTTTGCTTCGACCGCACTGCACTTGTCTGAGAGGGTAGCGGCAATGACTCGCTACATTGGTAGACGATCACAAGGCATTTGCATGGGCAGATACGCGTTTAATCACCTCTAACAATGCTTGAGGATGTCGAATATTTGGTGTATTCCTGAAGGACTGATCAGTAGTGAGGGTGAGCGCTTCATCCTTTCTTCTTTACTGCTTGTAAAAAAGGAAGTGAAGAGCCGTATTTTATTATTGAACAGTTATCATAGTGATAAAAACTGCTTATATTCTCTCTCTTTTTCTCTCTCACCACGTTTTCACGCACCATTCCTGAGTCATCGTTGCTTAGGGAAACTAAAGATCGAGATCACAAATGCTTGTGGAAAGAGAAAATCAGGTAGAGTCTTCACGTGTTTATGAACATTGAACTAATAAGTCCAAAATTTCGATTCAGCACCGTGTTTTCGAGTAGAAACGATAAGAATGAGCTGGAGTTATCAGAAAGACAACATCACCAGCCTTACCAACACAGCGGTTCCGACCTGGACTGGTCGCTTTGAACCATGTCGTTGTTCATTTTATTTCGCCCTCCGAAGACCGAGTATCGTTTTTTCGCGAACATTTCGACGTATCGCGTGATCCTTTCCGTGTATTTATGCTACCAACGAACTAATTTGGAATGTTTCCTGCGAGTACTGCAACAAGAAGCTCCTTTTTGTCTTGCCACGGATAAATGCCAGACACTAAACTCCGGATTACCAAACAATGTTGTTTTAGAGTGACTCTGGAGGAAAAAATTCACTGCAGCAGTGTATAACTCCTCCCCTAGTAACCGACTGTGAATGTGTAGAGGTATTATTTAAAACAACACTTGTAAAGCTGTGTTACAGTATGAGCATTTGATGCTTGAAACGGAAAAAAATTTTGACCCACAAGCGGAAATGTTCCTTCATTCGACAGCAGTACTCTCTCCTCCATGGATACGTTTCGTTTTCACCTTCACTATACCAACAACGGTTGCAGAAAACGTGCTGAGTGGCTAATCTCGCGCGCCTTCCATTAGTGGGTGGCCGTGCTGTCCATAGGCGCATCGTAGGCCTTTAATTCCACTCCCACTCGATCCCAGTACATCGGGGGTGCGGATGCTGCTTTCAGCATCGATTGCAGCATTTGACGGCTCGTTTTGTAAGTCCAGAACAGTTTCATGTGTGAAACGTTCTGCTGTTTCCGTGTTTCAGGTTGTCCTTGCTATTTTTTGTCGTTGTCGTTGTTTTGTTTACTTTCGCCACCGTAGTGGTGTCGTTGATAGTGCGTGTGCCTGCGGGGAGGGCGGTCGCTGGTTTGAAGCTCCGTTGTGCGGCTTGCGCTCATCTCTTGGCACCATTGTGTTTCTGTTACACAGCGTACTGTGGCATAGAAAACGAATGGGCTGTACTAAGGAGCTATCATACTGTACTGTTTTCGTTTCAGTTAGCAATGAAGTGGGTATTGGACTGAAATTATGGGCAAGCGGTTGAATGCTCACATTGAGTGGTTAGATTCTGCTGGATATTCTCCTTATGTCTGGCTTCGTGGAGATTGGCATCAGCCGTTACACCTCTTGTCAAAGTTGCTGGCCGATGAACTAAACAAAAGGTAATAGTTTCGTTACGCCGTTGTTGTATCTTATGATCGTCTAGGAAGTGTTTTACAGACGACCGTCGAATTCCACCGATGACGTCACATTTAAGATTGGATTCAATACGGTATCCACGTTCCTTACTTTCATAGGCAGGTTCTAGCCTCATTTTCGACGTTTTCAGATGCTTCAGCTTGCAGAAGAAATGCTCGGTGTTCCTTGCCTTATCACCGAAAAAGACCTGATGATTCATTACCCAAACATAATGCTTGCCATGCTTGTGTACCTCATTTGCGTTAAGCACTCAGTGGACTTCGTTGATATAAGTCTGTTTATGGTTGTTTTTGAAGCTGTTCTCTGGTGAGTTCCGGTGGAACGTGTTTGCAGAATCTCTTCGTAGTACTGTGGCTCCGAAACTCGTGTTTGAGGCCAGAAATGCTGGTGACGCTCAGCTTCCTAGGTGTGCATCCTGTTCTGAACATGTTTTTATCATTGAAAGAGTACGTTCTAAGTTCTATTGATAAATGAATGAACTTACAGTTTGTTATGTCAATTTCTAGGTGGTCATTGAATCCTGTGTATGGCATAGGCATTGTTTCAAATGTGTTCAGTGCACTAATATGATGAGGACTGGTGGTTTCAGGAAGGGTAAGAGGGGTTACGAATGCGTCACTCACGCTGTTCGTCGTATCCTTGGTGTTCCAGAGTTGGTCTTGATGATTTAGTTTTCCTTCTTTCTTAATATTCTAATCGAGCACATTAGAGTTATGTTTTAGAGAAAAGAGGAGCATAAGACCTCAGATTGCCCCACCAGAAGTACCTTCAGCTAATTCAGTCACTGTAGAGTTAGGCTCTAAAAAAAACGCATCGAAGAGTTCCGTACCACCTCCTATCTCGCCGAAACCCAAATTGGGGTCTTCTAAGCAGAAACCTTCACTACCTCCAAAACCTGCGAGCTTATCGGTATTCAAGGAACAACGAACAGCCGCTGTTATCAAAGATTTCAAGGTTGTTTTTCTACCCTATTCTCATGTATTATTCGTGCATTCAGTTCTATTCTTTCAGCCCGCTGAGCCGACAAGTGATAACGAAATTGTCTCAGTTGAATCGGAGCATTCCGGAGACTCTGGGATTGTTATAAGAGCGCAGAACGTACTCGTAGATACCGATGCCGAAGGCTATGAGATTGTCTCGGTACTGATCCACCGTTATTCAATTTACTTCGTCTTTTCCCTTCTTTTGTTTGTATTCTTTGAGATGTGTCAAGGTTTTACTTAGTTATACGAACGTTATTCACCTTGCAGCAACTTCATTCAATCTCGCGAAGTACGACTACAACTGAAACGAACATTCCTGCTAATTCTCGTTGGGTTTTCTTTGTTTGGTCTTTTATCAAAGACTTTTGTATTAGTAGATAATGCTTTAGTTTCTCCACATCGACCGAAGCGAGCCTCACTGATGTTTACCAGTGCTCGAATTGAACCAAAATTTGCCACAGAATCGGCTCTGTTAAGGTTTCCATTTGATGTGCCTCTACTTGATTAATAGTTGGATTATTTTTTTCTTTTTTCTATATATCACTCTTTATTCAGCGTTTCAACCGTTGCAGAGAAGTCAACAACTATTCCACTCGACAGAGCAACGTGTAGCGATCACAATGAGGTTTGCTTCAAGTGCCAGTTCTCGTGAGAATTATTTAACGCCTCCCTCCCCCCCACCACCTGAAATAATGAAATGTCGGATTTAGTACCTAGTAGTCTTTTGCAAGATTGTATGTGAGTTTCTCTTTTGTGAATATATCGTTTACCATTATATCGTTCTTCTCCTACGCTGTTTATTTTACAGCTTTCTTTTTCTTTTTTTATATTTTCGTTTAAAATCTCTTTCTGTGGGGAGAAATTCTACGCGTTCCTTTCCCATTCCTCTATCGCTTCAGTCAAATAAGGCGTTACCAGTGTTTCGTTTGAAACCTCGGATTTCACTTGTTCCTAGCGAGGATAGCATCGAAAAATTCAATCATCCAGCTCACGATTTGGATGGCGTAGGTCAGCGCTCCAGAGTTTGAAGAATCTAACCTCCGTCCTTGGACACTTTTAGGCTTTTTGGTTGTCAAGGCGCGCGTAGCGCAGTGGTCGTGGGCGCTCTGCAATGCACAAGGGATCAATCCCCGAGACGCCCAGCAAGTCCTATATCCTTCCGGAGTCACCGAATTGGTACCAGACTTTTCTGGGAGCATAGCATCACTAGCTTGATACATCAATAGGCCACCCCGAGTCATTCTAAAGGCCAGCTACGCATTCACTCATCTCCAACGGTATTAATGCTTAATGTAGTCGAACAGATGATGCATCTCTCAGGGATTGATCAACGCCGAGAGCTTAATACTTTTTTTCTGGTTTTTAAAAGCGAAATAGGCAATCACCTATCCATTGTCCTGAAGATCGTATACAGGTTAGGTTACATCGCAAAATTATTTCACGTGCAGTATTTTTAGTATTTGTAAACATTTGTTTGTTTCAGTCAGGCCGTCAGTCTATTTCGTCGTGGCTTCTAATGGAGGACTCTACCGATAGTTCATATATATTTACTGATAGTGATGAGGTAAGCCAAGTTCACTGTTTGATGTATTCTTCAAAGTATTTCCACCTTTAAGGTCATTTCTAGGCGTTTATTGGCGAATCGAGAAACCCTTTTGCTGATAGTGACGATGACTGTAAAGCTCCGGCGGCACACACTTTTTCCGGAATGTAGGTGCTTCCGTATTAGTTTTACGTATTTTGAGTACATCCTTGCTGGAATTGTTATCATATTACTGACGAAATGCATCATATTTAACTCACTATTCTCGCCCGTTTGTTTTGCAGCTCAGAGAGTTCTTGACGGAATATATATTTTTTTTCTGCAACCTTTTGATAACTGGTCCAACAGATGTTGCGACGAGTATTCGAAATTCTTTACCACGTGATTAACAATTTCTAAAAAGATCTTTTTTTGGCTGGTTCTTTCCTTTTTTGTACACTGTGCTCGCCACGATAAGGTAGTAACTGGTTCAGGAATCTTCTGTGGACGTTGTCTTTAGTATATAGAAGTATACTATGCTCTTAGATTGCAAGCATTACATGATTTGAACTCTTATTCTCAGTACTTTTACTAATCCTGTGGATGTCCTACCCTGAAACGTTACTTACTTAGATATTTGAATGGCCCGTCCTCACCGATTGTGCAGGCCTCAGCATAATCTCTATTTTTCAAAGATTTGCTGGTTTAGCCGTTGTGATTCCCTGCAATCTCGAAGTCAGCCTGTGCAGAGCTCACCTCAAGTCGTCACCACCACAGACAGTCGTAACCCTCGTGCATTAGAAATTTGCCACTGTGCGACTAATTTGATACCAGGGCTGTGATGGATCTTACCCCTTAGCTAGGCTTCCTGATGGTAACGCTAGACTCCTCAGACCCTGCCAGGGTGATGAATCTCCCTGCTGTACATCGCAGCCCGACACCCAGAAACACTTCCCGGCCACGATGAGGCGGAAAACCGTTGGCATGGCCCTGAAACATTTGCTTTGCAAATTGTAATTTATTTTTATAACAACCCTTTCGTGGTAATTAGAATTACGATTTGTAATCTGTGGAACATACAACTGATGCACCAAATTTAACTTTTTGTTGTCGCAATTCACAAGTTTATTTGTTCCAGTTGCATAAAACTCAAGTTTGTGCATGAATTCATTGAAAGTAGTTTTGGCTTCAGCCTTACTTCTTAATGATTCCTCGCACAAAGAGTTTTCGAGATGCTTGAAAAAGTCGTGGGCGTTAGACGAGAAGACCTATGTGATTATGATCGTTGAGAAAGAATTTTATAGTTCAGATCGTTCAACTACTGCAGCATTGTGTGGCCGCACATCATCATAGAGAACGGTCCCTGTCTGTTAACTATTGCCAAGCGCAAAGGTTGAAATTAGTAGTTCATTTCCTCGAATTGTTTGACGTGGGTCGTCGCAGTAATCTCTTCATCCGGCTTCGGGAAGCAGTGATGTATCAAACCAGCAGTGGACCATTAGACGGTCAGCATGACCCTTTTTTCTGCAAATTCAACTTTGGGAAGTGCCACGAAACTTGGTCGCTGTCCAACCACTTAGCCGATCGTCACCAGATATATAGGTCGCACATACTCGCTACACGTCACAGTAAGCTCAAGAATCGGGTCATTCTTGTTGCGTAGAGGGTGCGCCGGCGATGCTTCCTAGTGGCGACTTTTTAAGAATTTTTTGTTCACTTTATGCGTCGTCCATCTACCGAGCTCCTTTGACTTTCCAGTTTTCTCTGCATACTACAGAGCAGTTTAGACTATTACACAGAGTTCTGCATGTTCTCGAACAGATGTACGCTGCTTCGCTTCAATCAAACGCTTCAGTGTCGTCGATAGCAGAAGGACGTCACTGACCTTCCTTATCTTCAAAAGCGAATTCGCTACGACAAATTTTTTGACGGCAGTGTCGCACTGCGCGTTCGTTAGTATTTTCTCTGCACCACATCTCTTTACTGTTCGAAATCATTATACTGCGCAGTGTTGGAGTTAGAATTCTTAGAAATAGCTTTGTTTAAATTGCTATTTCGTCGTCTGAAATTCTTGCCTTTAAAACTTGTCACAAATACAGCTTATATCGCATTTTAGAGAGCGAAAATGGATAAAATATTTTTTACATCTGTACATAGTAGTGTAGTATTCGAAAACAAAATTTTTGTTGAAACATGTACAAGAAAAGTAGCGCTGAAAATCTTGCCTTATTTTCGATTAACCTAATATATTACTGCTTATAACGGCCAGCACAACATCCTTCCTTTGATTGTTGCTGGACATTTTCCAGGATATGGCTACCTGAGTGTTATGGCATCGCACTTCGTATATTTGAATTAAAACCGGATATACTTGAACGTTCAACTCATGTTTCATCATACTTGGTGCATTATCACACTAGATTGTTGATGCTATACTTATGTCTCTTCTGTTCGATGTATTGCCAAAATATCACATTCCCTTTAAAATACACCACAAACTCCTCGGTGTAAACATGTTTGGAAGTCTATTAACTCTCTGGTCGGAGAGTTCGGAGGTGTCTGCGAGAGAAACGAACACGCCATTACCCTTTCCAGGAGCTAACGTGTTGACCACCACCATGAGGGTCCTTCATTTCGCCTGTCTCTCAGCTAGTTCTGTCGATCAATGCCAACATCAATCACCCGTCAACAGGATTAATTTCATTGTTCATAGTGATTTCAACTGCACCCTCAGCTTAACTGGGTTCAATGCCTATTTGGGCTTCCCAGATCAATCCCATTGACGAGTGATTGCTGGTAGCGCTGATCGATAGAACTAACTGAAACAGGCGAAACAAGGGACCACATGGTGTGGTGGTGAAATCGTTATCCCCCCGGAAAGAGTAATAGCTCGTTCGTTTCTCACCGCAGACACCTGCGGTCCGGAGTTTTAAAAATCTCTCAGCATCATTGTGGTAATATTTCGCATCATACCTTGCCCGTTAAAAATAATAATAGGCAGCAAATAAAAAGTTAGCATTTTGTTAACACTGTTGAAATTGTTGTTAAGAATTTCGACCGTAATACTTATCTTCTGTATCCTATCTCATTGGCATCACTTGGAAACCAAAACTATGACATTTATTAACAGCACCGCAACTCCAGTGATATCTCAGCAGTACCACGGTAAGGTTTCTTATCTCACATAGATTTTTCTGACAACATAGATCGGTGAATATTTCGATCTCTTCGACTGTTGTGGACGTTTCTATTTTCACTTGACGTGGTAAGTGTGGCCATAGAAATGTGTACAAATGTAATTCGGAAGCGACTGTGAAGGAGTGACACCAATAGGCTTGAATGATATCTATATTTCTCTCATCACAGACAAGAAATGGAATTGTTTGAGAAGTTTGAGACAGTACATACAAGTTTTTTACAAGTTCTTTAGGGTTAAAGGGAATGCTAATGAGTCTTTTTAACTCTTCAACAGTTTTCTATTTCCGCGACTAATTCTTCTTCCGTTAGTATCTGGTGATTCTTCCTTCGTTTTATTTCAGATCCTTTTCAGACGATTAGCACAAGGAATTCTATTTTTTCTTCCACGTTTGATTAGCAGTCAATCAAATCTATACAGTTCAACAGTTGACCACTCATTGACTTTTTTTCGTTTTCAATCGCTATGGTGATTCAGAGCCATCGAATATGATCGATGGATGTAGAAAAATATGGGAGGACAGCGGGATACACTTTGTATTTCATACAGAGGCTAGGCCAAGGTTGACAGCATTAACTGCAGCTTAAATGGATGTTACATGAGTTCTTTTTTTTCTCATTGCGTGGTGATGACCTATGTATTCCAGAATTATGAGGCGATACATAGAAGAACACAGGGATTACGTGCAGGATTTGAAAAAAGTGGACATTAGCAACGGAGAGCTCAATGTAACTCAATTGTACAGCGGAAACTGGGATATAAAGAGGACAATAATTTGCTGCTAGCACTATGACTGACATGGCTTACATATTAGTCATCACGTGAACAACTGAAAACTTGGCTTCATCTGTGAGCTCACCATATAAAATTAAGCGCGGTCACCAGTGCGTTGAACAGATGTTTTGCTCCGTCTCTCTGTTTTTCACTAATTATTTTTCATTTGAGCTAAATGAATATGTTGTGATATATATGATGTATATTATATGTATATATATATATATATATGTTATGATGATGATGTAATTTGAAGCATTTAGTCTGACACCTGTGTCTACACTTCCTGGTGAGTCCAATCGTCCAAAGTGCACGCCACCTCCTCCTCCACCTATATCAAGTTCTTTTCCGAACAAGGTAAAAGTGTGCCATACTTGACTTATGTGATTATTTCGTGTGTTCTAGGCGCATAAAAATTTGGTCAAAGTGGAGGAACGATTTCGCACACTGAAAGTTACCAGTAAAACCTTCCGAACGCTACATCCACCTATACGTGGAAAGGTCGATAGTTCTTTTCAGTATTTGTTTAGCTTATTTCCGTCGAGTTGTGTCTTTTGTTTAGGCAATCTTCGCTGAGAATAATGCTTTGGGAGGCACTAATGAAATCACAAAAAAGCTTGAAAAATTAGATGTTGATCTGGAAAGGATAATGCGAGAAGGAAAGCAACTGGAAGTGGAGATGCTATTTCTAATAACTCAAAGTATTCTATCGAATCACTATGAGTCCATTCCATTGAATTGGTTTGCTAACACTTTTTTTCAGATCCTAGTGACTGGTTGAAAATGCCAAGAACTGAGGATTTCATCGAAGTCATGTGTAAATTTTTAGACGTTCTTCGGGAAAGTACCAAATTGCAGTTTATGTAAGTGATTTTTCTAATCAGTTTTCTTCTCTGTCGTTCTACATGTATGTTTGCTTTTATGGTGTTTTTCCAGATGGCGTGAAACTTTCCTTAATGAGATGCATTCCGAAACTGAATACTTTCTTCGGCAGATTACCTCCAAAAACACTCAGAGCGGTAAGCGCTGTATCATATTTGTATGAGTACTTGTAACTTTCACTGGTTATACGAATTCATCATTATTCAAGTCCTGTCTCATATTCCTGTATATCATTGTGCGCTTTTGTAGTTTTTTTTCTTTTTTTTTTTTGCTTTTTCTTTGTTATTTCAATCAGTTGCAATCGGAAAAAGGCAGTTTACCGAATTTATTATGTTAAGAGGAATCAGCTGAACGAGAGAAACAACTCATGAATTTATTGATCTCTATTATCGATGAAAAGGCAAAACTATATGAAAAAAATATTGAAGATCGGGCTATTGGTAACTGCTGTTATTCTTGTTAAGGTATAATATTATTTTTATTATTACTAGTATCTAGACACAAGCACTGTACAAAAGAAAGAGCTGAAAAACTGAAGTATAAGCTACGGATGACTTTATTATCGAAGAAGAATTAATGTGTAGATATGAACTTGTTTTAGAGAATATTTTAGATTAGTTTGCTATTGTTGAAGGATTTTAATGTTTCATTGGTGTATTGTCTTCTAGTCGCGATATTAGGACTTTTTGTTTAACTCTTAGGGACCGGCGTGAGTGGTGGGTCGATGTAATTAGTTGGCAGGGGTAATATGTACACTTTTTTGCCACCGTTCATTTTGCGTTATATAGGTTTTTTGCTGCACTTTTTGCATTTATTCAGAGCCTATCGACCGCAAACCATAGTGCTTACTCACTTTGTCTAGTTAATGACTTGTATAAAGAAAGCAACAAAAAGTTACTTTTTGGATGAGTTAATTTCTCGGCGGAGATCATTGCTATTGCAGTGTGGAGGGAAAAGATACGTCTCTGCTGCGTTTTAACGCTTAAGTATGGCACTTAGAGGTTTTTTTTCGCTATGATAAGATAGTCATTGACGCAACTTCAATAGGTAAATTGTAGAGTATATATGTGAATTGAGTGAGTGTCACTAGAAAGATTTGTCTGTAGAAGCGTTAGGAGTTCATCTATATATCTTTTCTAAAGTGTACTTTATTCCGAATTCTTTTCTTTTCTATAACATTCGATTAACTTATTGTTTTTTTCACTTGTTTCTTCTCGATAGAAGTAAACAAATAATTTCGAGAAGCGAAAAAGTCGTCGATGGACATCGGATTGTCTTAACGACACGACACATTAAGAAATCGACCATGCTTAACCTTAATTCCATCGTCGCAAGATTTTTGCAAGCCCAATTTGAACGGTGCTCCGCTGAAGAAAATTCGACTCGATGGACGACGAAGACATTATGTCGATAAGACGACTGTCTTCCATCGACTCAAATCATCGGCTCTGAAGAAGACGGAAACGTCGAAACGTTAACCGAATGAGGGTTATGTGGCAGCCTCGTGTAAACTGAGAAATTTTAATAAACAAAAAAAAACTGTCTGTTACTCCATTTCTAATCAGTATGTTAAATCTTCATTACTTTGTAGAATGGAGGTGTGCAAAAAATACCGATGTATGTTTCGTATATGTTGCGACATTGACTACTAAGTGTTGACAGCGACGTTGATGCATCGCGCACGTTTTTTTCCATCACTGTTCGACTACCGAATATACTCGCAAAACACATAGAAACCGAATTTCAGAGAGGAAAGCGCGATATGAAGAGGGTGAGCTTGATTGTGCGTTCGGTCCCTAAGTGTTAACATCTAGTCATCACTTTTAGACGTCATGATCTTCCGGAAATGACTATGTTCGTTTTTTACTAGTCCCGAAAAAGTTTTAAGTAAAGATGGAATCGTGGAGTGTTTTAATACTCAGGGTTTTTTTTGAATCTTTAAGCACCATTCATCTGTGTTTTTGTTTCCCGTTAGATTCAAAGCTTTTTTGTTAAATGAACCTCAGTGTTCTAACATTGTTCTTCGCTTTTTGTAGAGTATTGGACTCTCCTTGTCTATGTATTAGTTTGCTTGAAGTCTTTCATATTTCTACTGTAAATTATAGGTCATTTATCTTGCCGTTCTATTTGGATGTTGCTCCCTTCTTGTTACAGAGTTGCTTTAAAATAATTTTACTTTGTAGAAACCAAATATTACGGGATTCTTTATACTTGCATTTTAATAAACAGGAAATTGCTGGTCATTTCGGTTGTTTGTTGTTTTTCTTCAACATCTCTGTTATGAAGCGTTGCGTCGTACCTAAAGGAATTTTTGATTTTTACTTAAGCAGAGGGTTGATGAATCCAAACGGATTTCCATACACGTGTCGTAACTATAATTGTGTGGAACTGATGGAGTGCTTAGATAGTTGAATGACCGATCTTCAAAAATTAAGCAAGGCTCTGCACTTTTTGTTCTTGACCGCAGTTTTGCTCTTTGGCCACGTTACTTCATTTTTCATGTGCCACGATAGTGACGACACCGCGTTTCCTGGGAGATTGAGTGAGTAGTTGACAAACGCGACGGCCAGGGAGTCTGCAGGTCTGAAAGTTGATTTACCGTGTGAAAACAAGGATTTATGGTAAAGTTTTATTCCTAGTTGAGCTCATGAGTGGAAATGTCGTGGTTTTTCTCAAACTGCATCTGTTACACTCCACGGTCTATTAGCAGATCACCGATTTCGGAGGCCTATAGGGACTAGGGAATCAATTTAACATCCTGGCGTAACTTTTCTGAGAATTTTTGCTTAATTATGGCAAACGAGCAATAAGTTGAGAATATTTCGAAACATGCAGTGGTAAAACGAGAGCAGTAAGTTTTATTCACTTTTAGATGTGATCATAGTCTTACTGATTCCCATACAGGTTATTCAAGTTACAAAATTGGTGGTATTTGCGCAATTGGTTTTTTTTTTGTACATTACTCCTGAAGCATGCCATACAAAGATGTTACAACTCCATTCTTCGCACATTGGCTCAATCCTGGTGTGAAAGTCGATAAGTGACAACACTTAAAATGAATATGGACATGTTATCTACGAATTTTTCTAGTGATAATATTAAGTTTACAGGAAGTTTATAACTTCTTTGATTTAAAGAAATTTATCATGTTTCATCAAAACATTCACAATGGTGTGTGTGTGCGTTCGCAGGCTCTTTTATCCTTAATGCATTCCATCCTGTATACACACTGTAGCGGTTAGGACCTAACGACCGTTCAGACATTATAGTGTACTGGTTTAATGGGTTCCGGAGTTATTTTTAACGTACTATGTGTATTTGTTCGTTAGTTAATTGAAAGCAGATTAAACTGGGAAAGGTCATAGCAGGAAATCTATTCTCCACACTTAATGATTTACAAATAACCTTTTTTTCGACAAAGTGGCGAGCAAATTTGAGACATGAATATGAAGATACCAAAGTGTACAGCATGTACTCCGAAATGCTTCCATATGCCGAGAGCAATGTATTTTCAATATGGACCACATATGGTCGGTAATAGCACACATACCACTCATAATCATTGTACGATAGAGTCAAATCTCTTCTACAACTGCGTTATGTTTAAGTGTCCTAAAGTCGTTCTGGATATTGAGAAAAGATTTTGTAGACAAAGAAGATTGTCGAAAAAGCAGAAAATCTGCAACCGACGGAAAATTGCATGTATTCTACTGGGCCAACTGCGAACGGCTATCGATGCAGAATGTATTAAACAACATTTCTCACTGCTTGTTGAACTTAACTGTTGAAATCGCTCTCTTATTCTAGAAGGATAGGTTTCTGCTCTTTCGGAATCCACGATACGTATTCTCCCACTCTTTTTTCGTCGTTGGGACTCATATTTCAGACACCAAGGCAATTGAACCATGGAGATTTGGTGATGTTCCCTAATGTATGGTTTCTGTGTGCGGTTGCCGCACATAGTTTGAAGTTTTCAGAAATTTAAATTCCGTCTCGCATTTCTCTGAATATTTTAGTCTTTAACAAGTTTAAAATTGAAATAATATTTTCGAAAATTTGTGCATTACCTCAGCGCAGTGCAGCTTAGTCTCTTTTGTAAGTCACTGGGATTCTTAGTTCGAGCAGAAAGCGATCAGTAGCAGTCTAAAAGCGTAGCTGAGAAAAAATAATCATGTGACACATTATACAATCGGGTTAATCGCTCTAAATCACTGATAACCACAATTTGAACACCTCAGAATCAGTTCAATCACATTGATGAAATATGGTCTCCTTGTCAACGCTATCTACGGTGGTATTATAGTTTGTGCTTTGATTAAGAACAGGCCAAAAAATCTTTATTTGGTTACGTGCGAAACTCAACTCACTGCATCATCATCAGGTATTCCTTGAATGCCACCTATTTATTGACTTATTATTATTATTATAAGGAAAAATTTAACTGATTTTAAAAGGAGATATTTTTTCTTGGTGCTCCTACACGATGATGTTAACGTTTTCGTGTGAAATCCAGATTCTTTTCGTCGTTATCTATTTTTACATGTTCTTATTTTCTGCGCATTTTTCCATTGATGGCATTTCAAGCGTTTGTTGCTCAAACTGTTCAGTTTACTAGAAGCGTGATTCTCCACAAGCGATGAGGTAATTTTGCTCTTGAAGAATTGCGGTACAAACACGAATTTTCTCATATTGATGCAGTAACAATGTTCCACGGCTGTCCAGATTTATGCAAGTGAGAGAGGTTGTCCATACTTCCAAGCTGTTGACAAAGACTAGGCAAGATCTTAGGTGCTATCGTGCATAACAAGATGTCGTTAGCCAGCCCAGATTTCTTGGAAAACGCAAGACAAAACTGGTATGCTTCGATACTTAAGTGTAGGAATTACGCCACATTAGCGCCAAGCAACATTGTCAAATGAACTGTTACTAGACGTCAGGGCAGCTACTCCTTAAAAAATGAGAGGAAAGGCCACAGTTGATATGCATGAAGTATTAAAATCTGAATTTGTGGTTCATTATTGTTTGCCTATGCAATATGCGTTTAATATATTTAGAACTTATTTATTTTTATTCCTAGCTGGTCTCGTGGCCGGAAGAATCAGACTCTAACATGGAAACTAAACAAAGACATGGTAGCACATTACGATAAGTAGGAATAAAGCT